TGCGGGAGGATATGACAGAGGAAAACTTCACCTCAAGGTGGCCTGGGACTGGAGCACAGGAGGAGTGCCCGAGGGGAAGCTGCTAAAGACCAGATGTAAAGTCCTAAGGTCACACTTCCATGACCCATCTACATATACCCAGGAGTATGCTTTGCTAATCCCCTAGAAAGCTCCCATGCCAATTAAACTGAAAATTAAGCTTAACCCTCATACAAACTAATGTGTAGTCAACAGACACTAGATTACTAAATGCTGAGAACTGGAGTGGAAGAAGATGTGATTAGAAAGAACATGAAGAAACTTTTGTAGTGATGGTTTCATGGTTATGTACACTCATCAAATTGTATGCTTTAGGTATATCAATTCATTGCATGCCAATTATGCTTTAATAGTTTTTTTTAAAGATAGATAAAAGAAACCTTGAAGTTGATCACAGGGATATTTTAGTAGGTTCTCGAAACTGAGAGAGCTATCATGTAGTTATAATCTAGTTAAATTCAGGATATAAAGACCTTTTTTACTACTGAAACTGGAGGAGGCAGGCAGTTTAAGTAAACAGATATTAAGAATATCAACTCAAAATTTTTATCCAACTAGGGGAGTATTTGCCATTTTCTTTCTCTTAGAGTAAATGCAAATGATTTTGTTTCCAAAGTCTAGGGGGTACTAGAAATAATTTCTTGTTCTAAAAATTATTTGGGATTATTATCTGAAGATTTACAAAAAGTACAAAGGTATTACATATTTCAGTGGCATATGTTTTTGGATAAGAAATTCTGTTATACTTTGTAATTATACCTTTGTTCCTTGTACTTTTTCGTATTTTCTAAAAACAGAGTGAATTTAATTAGGAACATAAGGATAAAATGTTCCACATTTTAATGGTAGAAATAAAGTTTCAACAATTTGATAAATTTAGAGGTTTTATTGCAACCACAAAGAATTAGAAGCTAGAAAAATAATAATGTATGCCATGTATTTCTTGTGGGAAAAAATAAAGGATGATATTCTATAGTGATTTTGTAAATGGCTTCTCCTTCCAATGCAGAGTCCAGTTTTCTAGTGTCATTCCTACAAGAATTCTAGGCCACTGCTTAAGAGAGCAGATAAAAAAAAAAACCTGTATGATTTGCAATGAAAAAGTGCCCGGTATTTAAAATGTAAACTTTGTTTCCTGGGGACATAAATTCCTATGTAAGTGTAATGAAATAGAAGTCTTTAATCACGTAACATGAATCTTTCAAAGGAGACCATTTGAGGGTACTTTGAGAACAAATGATTGTGTATTTTAGACTAAATCATATCTCTTACAGAGCAACTAATTAAAATAGTAAACCTTACATTATTTAGTTTGGGCTGCTTATTCTAAATGGCTTCAATAAGTCTCAGGTTTTTAAAAACAACTTTATTTAAAATTATACTAAGTTCAGGTTTATCAAGTTAAAATAGAATGGCTCAGAAAATTCAGAGTGGGTGGAATGATATTTAATTATAATTTTAATATACATTTTATACATTTAAATATAAGAAACATTTTGGAAGTAAACTCTCAATTCAAATAGTAAGTTTACAAAATATAGATACTAAGGTTACAGATGGGACCTAGATTGAAGTGACAAATCTTACAAAATTTGCAATCCCCCACCCCATCTAATTTAATTACTTTACATCTTTTAGATAGAAAATATGGTTAATTACTAAGCACATAAAAGAAACATATATTCCAAACTTTTTGTAAATACGGTAATTCCATTTTATAGCTAGTGGAGCAAGCATGTGATACTTAGTTTGTTGATGGTTCCAGAGCCATACATACAGAAAACTTCAGAGCTGGAAGAAATTTAGCTATCTTGACAATTATAATTGAAAAGAGGAACGAATATTGTTTTTTAAAAAAGTCCTTAAATTATCCCGTGTTGTAAAGGTCTTATAATATTTCTTAGGTTAGCATTCTCCTTTGTTTCAGACTTTTCCATTTCCATAATATTCTAATCACCAAATGTGATCAAAGTAAGCCTAAGACCTTTCATTTGAGCTCAGAAGAGCACTGTTTAAACCAACATTCAATTTGTCCAAACCTGTAAGGACATGATCTTTCAGAGTCGCGGTATTAAATTTCTGTAAACTCCACTAAGTTCCTTTAACAAGGAATCTTCTTACGTAGGGTTACAGGGCAAATCCTCTCAATCCATTAGAAGTTGCAATTTGTAAAACACTGCGCAATTCGTGAAACCAGATACTTTTTGCTTTTTTGGTGAAGAAATAGGAGTCCTAAGTCGAATCACGTTTGCCCTCTAGAGGGAGACATAGTCCAGCATTTACACCGAGTGCCGCGTTCTCTCGCTTTTTTTACTATCTCTGTGTTTCTTCTGCAGGACCGCTGTTTGCTCTCAGGAAACTGCCCGTT